ACCTTGAGAGAGATACTTTGACGTCGGTAGCATATTAAATTTTAATTTCGCCTTGTTTTACTTGACAAATTTGAAACTTATGATGTTATTCTTGGCAAAATTTTACGTTTGGATGATTAAATTTGATACGCTGCTGCAATATTCAACATCTTCGTTACGGACTGGTGCAAGCCAATTGATTTCTCTGCTCTCGCGTCGTGTTTTTTTCGGTACGGTTACTGATATTTGGTTATGTCAAATGGTCTAAGTCTGTCCCTAAATCTATTTGCCGTGGCAGTTATTTGTGGATTTGTATATCATGTAGTTCAATGAGTCCATTCGTCCAAGGGCAGTGGGATTTCTAAGTATCAGCATCTATCACATTACCAGGTAGGAGGTTCGTTAGTTACGATTTGAAGACGATAAAGAGATTATTCGAGTGCTAAGAGATGACTGTTTCAGGAAAAAGTAGATAGTTTGATTAATTGGTAGGGAGATGGAACCGAAAGAGTATGAGGGGAAACGGAGATTATACTAAAAGAGATAGGAAGTGTTTACTGATATGCAAAAGGATATGCTTTGGACTTGACATTTAATCTTTTTCTCAACTCTGTGTAAGAGCGGTGATCGGATCACGTCAAGAAGATCCTCCACTTGTGCCAACCTCTCAATTTAGCCTGTGTTTAGCGTGTCGGAACTCAATCCTTTATCTTTGCTTTCAGGATGTGTGTTTGCCCTGAGATACATTACGTAGGGTTGCATTCTGAATATGGTGTCTTATTTTCTCCTGGTGATAAACCACTATTAGTTCTCATCACTCTCCAGGCCATGTGACGTGTTGAAGATTTTTACCTATCATCGTGAAGTCTGCTCTGGTGTAGCTAAGGTGGAGAACCTTCTCGTCCAGCCAAAGTATTTCGTATGCGATCACGTCAAACGTAACTGTACCAAAGTCACTACTTCCTACTGGTGAGTGTACATGGACATCCCTAATCACTTATCAATAAATAATCTAAGTTCTAGGATTTTTCGTCCTTGTCTCAGCTCGTGGCAGCGCCCATATGTCCAATCGTTTCCAAACATTTTATGGTTGTGATGAGCCTCAGATGGTATCGCCATACAAATACTGTATTCTGATTGCTGAGATTTAGGAATGAAGTAATGAAGTCTCTAGCCAGAGTTATTTGGTTAAAACTCAGGTTTAGTAACGCCTGTATCGTTAGTATCGCTTGTATTTTCCAGTCTCTCTGGGTCCTAGGACCCGAAGGAGGTCAGTGTATTCCTTAAATCAAGAACTTCATGACAATCACATTGGAGAAACTCCATCATGATTCTGTCACCTCGTTAATCCGATAAGGCGTGATGTTACGGCCCTAAAGTGACTGTCGTTGTATATCTCTACTCCACCTGCTCGTGTACCCTATCGTATGAGAAGAGTGTTATTTTTTGTGAGCTCACGTCTTCGTCAAAGGTGTTGGGTGATGGCCATGTTGTAGTCAGGGCCATAGTTTTCAGTTCCAACCGAAATCACATGTTTTTGACCTCTTCTAGTTATCCCTTGGCCACCTTACGTTGCTTCGGATGCACTTGATAGTTTCTGATGTTCCCTGGTGTTCATCTACAGCAGCATATGTCTTCTGAGCTTTAAGATGACTGTTGTTTGAAGTATGACAGCCAGATTTGTGCGAAGTGGTCACTGTAGATTCTCGCCGTATAACGATTTCCATTATCGAGTCCATGGTCTCTGGGTTCTGTATGGTGAAGTGTTGACCAAGGTTAGTTGACATCAAAGTGTGTTTGGTCGGGCTTCTCTGCTGTTACACTGCTGACTAAAGAGGTCTCTTGTTAGCCGTGAGCTGTAACAAACGTGAAGGACCCCAGTTAAGTACTCTCGGTTTCCGAAGTTTGCAGCCCTCCCAACGCCCATACATTTCTCCTTACTTTCGATAGACACTGGGGTGTTAGAAACCGTCAGTAGTCTCCTTGGTTTATTAGCCAACGTTGTGGCTCCCATGGTCGCGATTTTGATTGAGATTTTGTCGGACGAATTTGGTACACTGGTGGAGATGGCTAAGGTTATTTTTACATAGTCTTAAGCCTCTGTTTGTTAGTTCCGCTTGTGTATTTGCTCTTTACTGTGCGCAGATGTATCTGAACCACGAATAGGGGTTAATTAAAATAAACCTGTAGTACTGTCTGCGCAATACTGTACCTTAACGGCGGAGATCTCAGCCACTATATAAGCTACATTAAAAAGCTGTATCACAGGTTTTAACGGGCGACGAGCATGAGATACAATTATCGTTCTTTAATCATTTCTTCTCAGTAGTATCAGGCAACACCGGCAAGTCAGGATACCAATTTCAACACGTTTGTTTGTTTGCTAGGTTTACCAGGGTATGAGTGTTATCCTGATTGCTTAGTGGGAGAATTAGTTTCGGTAGTTGAGTTGAGTGATTCATATTGTACAAATTATTCGTAGGTTCTTTTTTATGTGTCGGCTTCAGCTTTATTTATAATCCTGTTGCTAGGAAAGTTATTATTAATTCATGAATTAGGATTTCCAATTCTGTTGGTCGTCTTACTAGTTATAGTGTATGATTGTGGATACGTTTAAATAAACTAAAGTGTAAAATTTGAGACCATTAATGAAGGAAGAACGCGAGACGAAATTTTCGGAGGAGGAAAATAATGGAGATAAGTGAATGCTTGCTATACGAGGACAAAACCTGTAAGACTTAAAATTACCACGTTATCCTAGACCAGTTTAGCACGCAAAGTCGAGTGAAACAGTAACCTATCCACAAGTCCTATGTTTACAGGAAAATGAATGTGTATATGTTGCAGCTGAAGTGACTAGGAAGAAAGCAGTTGATAGAGACAGCAAGACCTGTAGCACCATGGTTCAGCCTTGGAATGACTATGGTCATATTTGTTATAGTTGTCTGCCAGCAAGGTGAAGAAGCAGTTCGAATATTTGGAAGCGAGTAAATATTTTAGTAGGGTAACAGAGAGGTGGATATTTCTGATTGTTGGTGAGAGATCAACGAGGTCACGTCAAGTTCGGAAGCGAAAAGAGAGCTAGCTTCTCCTCGTAATATAAGGAAGCTGCATTTTCCAGATTGTAGGCAAAAAGTGTTGCATCAAATAGGTGATTATGTATATTTTTTTATTAACATGATCGTTGTATTTTAGTGACTGCTTGTGCTTGAAAATCTTCGGACCATTCCAATTATACATTCTTTGTGAGCGTAACGTTGCTTCTGACATGTGGAAAACCTGGTTATTTACTTTTAAGTGATCATATAGTAGTTTTTGTCCTACCTGTTACAGTAAATACCATCTAAGTATACGTTATTGAATTTCACATTTATATTTGTCATTGAAGTACTACATTCATCAATGACTTTGTGCAATTACGTATATGAGAATACCAGAAATATTGGTCTGCAATTTATTCTGAATTCGTGGATCATTGAGCGCTACAAGAAAAACCTCAGTACGGGATTGCTGAAACTGAAGTGGCCTGCCGATCTAAATGTGTGGTTCACACAATCACTGAAAGAAAAGGACCTCTGAACAACCATCATAGCAGACGATTGAGAATCAATTGTAGGTTTGTTCTTATCTAATCAGTAAGACAAACTACCAAAGTTACTACCTTCTGTTCCCCCTTCAAAACCCTAATAAGTCGTCTAGCTTCAGGCTTTTCCTCGTTTCTAAGAATGTTAACCAGAGAGTTAGACCATTCTACGTGTTTAGTTAGCCAAAACAAATACATCATCAAAGTATATATGAACATTTGTCTCCAGACAAGCCAGATTTCAAAATGCCGATGACTACAAAATATATCTTTGGTTCGAGGAGCGACTAACATAGAGAGTTGTGACGTCATAAGTTCTGAGAAGGACAAAATCTCCGGACGGCAGCTAGAGCTTTTTTAGTCCTCCCAAAATATGCCATCGATAACACATGTAGAGCGAGCGACGTCGTCCTGCATCGTCATTAGTGCCTCAGATGTTCCAGAGGAGTGTTAGGTCGTATAAATACTGAGAAGGTTCATTTTCAACAGCGTAACACTGAGGGAAGGTCAAGAATTGTGAACGCGGAAACATCCATTCACTTAATGGGCATAGCGTAACCCAAACTATTCCACATTAAATGTATCGCTCTATTCGCAGCCGGAATATGTCCTTCTTAAGTGCCGAACACCATATTGCTGATTTTCATGATGCAACGAGTCCCTGTGGACAGTGATGTGAAATTCACGCAAAATCTCGTAGATTTGTTGTGATGTGACCGTCAAATAGTGTAACATAATTATGGGAAAATTCCTGCTTTATTTCATGCCTTATTTACGGGAAAACAGTTTATATGTGTGTAGCGGTAAATAAATCCCCAAAATAAATAGCTCTGTAAGTTTTCGACATTGGATGCTGGCCACATTAGTTTTAATGTACTCACCTAGCCGAAGGCACTCGGTCATGCATCCGCACCAGATCACGAGTGGGAACATCATGCTCAACAGCCCCTGCAATCGCTAGCCAGATTAGATCAGACGATCCTCGATATATTGAAAGCCCATTAAATATATCTTCGAAACTCCTCGCTTCTGTCTTTTGATCTCACTTGGTGGGTACGACTCACATTAGGTGTTACTGCTCAAAGCGTTGTCAAACTCCGAATACCTGTGGCATCTTCAGGTGCATTCTTAGTCCTGAAGCTTACTTTTGTAGTTTTAGAAGCAACGCAAGTATGAGTAGGTTCGCATCTAACCTGAAGATAAATCATATTCTGAAGTAGTGCTAAAAGCAACATGTGTGAGATTTGGAAGAATAGGAGACAGATAACTTAGTAAACGAGAAAAGTTCACTTTTGAATAATGCGGATAACTGATAGTAACAAATATTAAACAGTTGTGTGAGCGAAAATATACTGAAAGGACATAGAAGCTGGTAAAGTGATATTTCTATTGTGTTACATTATCCAATGCGTTGACCTTGTGTTTATGTTGACGGTTTAAATTGTTTGGCGGGCTTCTCTTTGTCAGCTGATCATCTTCCTTGATTCACAATAGATTATGAATGTCGCTTGTAACCGTCATGATGATAATTCCCCAATCTTGTTTATCGATTTTAACCAAGATTATACGTACGTATACAATACATTTATCTCCTCTCGGTTTTTTTCACGTAGTTACAAATCAATTTATGCATCTTCGATTTCTTTATAAAATCCCCAAAAACACATTAGAGTTGAAGAGATAGGATTAAAAATTTATGGATAAGTACTTATTGACTTAACTGGCGAAAAACTTCAATAGTGTTTTCAATAACCTCAAGGCTTATGCAAAGGAAGTTGTAGAACTGATATCTAGCTCCACGTTCATAGTCTATTCCTTATACCTTTTTAACGAGCTAGCCCTTAAAAAGCTGCATTTAAAAGCTGAGTACATAAACTTGGACTTGACTAACAAGTTTCACCAAATGCCAATCAATTCATATATGGGTGCGATGCAACTTCGTAAATTCCCATGGTTATTTAGAGCCACATCATCCTATATAATATCCATGTAGTTTTAGCATTTTGGTTCAGCATACAGGTATATATGTGGTAGAACGATAATTAGGATATGTGGCGGTTATTCGCTTCATGAATCCAGTCTAGCTTAAACAGTTTTAGTATTGTACTTTCAGTCATTATATAGAAAGTTTAAAATCTTCATAGACTTCTGAAACTAACGTCGATACATACTGGTGTCATCTCCTATGATGACAAAAATTTTGTAACCATAAGATACCATTAGCTTTCACAGGAAATATTCTAGGCAAAGCTGAGTATATGAGGTTTTACTTGGTTACCAAGTCGTATTTCGATGTAAGCTGCTCGATTTAAACCTTCACTATTTAAGACAAGTGTGACAATAGATTATACCCCCTATGGATAAGTAGTTATTTTCTAGATAAATACTCCTACTTAGTTTTGTGCTTAACAATTAATCATAGCTTTCCTACCACTTTCTCATTTGTAATATTATCCAGAAAGCTCTGATTTCACGTACCAAGAGTTCTTAATTTTAAATCTTCGTAGGGACTTCAAACTTCCTCTCCTTATAGTACTGGCGTTTTTATCAAGTAAGTAGCGTAAAAAATAAAAATTGCCAAGTGAGGGGGGTTTTACGCATTCACCCAGCATTTCCAAACCAAATGCGTGTTTATCTTAACTTTTTACACAACATAGCACTACAATTTTCAATAAATGTTGGTTTCTGTCTTGCTAACAAACCCAAAGTAAGCGAATACCGTGACCTGTGATACGTCGTTTGCTGTGATTTTGTTCTTTATCATAGAAAAAAAGTTTAGCTTATCAGCCTCTAGAGACTATTCGGTTATAGAAATGGTTTATTTATTTTGACTTACATAATAAGTGTCACAAAACAAACATGTTTCGACGTCATAATTCGGCAATCTTTATCTTTCCTTACTTTATGCAGCTCAGCACAAGTGTAATAGTCAATGTTTCCAGTTCTACATCTACTGTATCATATTTGACTCATCACAAAACCGCTTCCTAGTTAACATTACATGATCCTATTATTTGAAGTAATTTTTTTATGTTGTATCATAACTATTAATCACAATGCTATTCGCATACAACTACCGTTTTTGGCTGTTCCTCATTCATTTTCTCCCCATTATTTATCATCTATTGTTAGAGTTATAACAGCCCGTCACTACCAGTAGTAGACTGAGCCGGATACTGGTTCATTTCAATAAATATCGCAAAATCGAAACTACTGTCTACTTAAAGCTGCAAACGAAACCACGATATATATCATCCAGAATATAATTCTATAACTTTATCAACACCCATCGGAGTTTAAATGTTTGAGTAGCATTGTTAACATACACTATGCGTTTCGCTCAGACTCTAGCATATAAACTTTGTAAAGTTGGATTTACCTAATACTAAATAAGCAATAGTTGGGTCTATTTAGTCTCACGTCGTCGTCTATTAATTGCTTTTTATTTCACGTATTCACATATTTTTGTTTATCGGTATAATTTTACTCTATTTCTTAAACAGCTAAACTTTATCAGTCACCGGTTTTTCTTCTGCGTTCGACCTTAAACTTATGTCAGTTGATAGTAAGATGACGGGACATATGATCCTTAGTGACAAATTACTTAATCATATCTTAGAAAAGAATGAGAATTCCACTACGAACGATGGAATAATCACAAGATATGGGACCTGTGGCCCACTTGAAAGGCTACCTTGCTTAATTTACACTCAAGAGGTGATAGCTGTTATCAATCAAACTTACTTCAATGTATATACGTGTATATGTGTTTTTTACCATAGGTCTATTCAAGTTGGGACAAAAACGGGATACAGCCTCCTGTCAACTGTTGGTGATCAGGTGACTGAGACATTTTCTTCTAGTAATTTGTGTTTCTTACTAAAAAAATTTCATTTACACAAATAGCCGGTGATCCCATGTGTATTGTTGGAAGATTATTTAATCGAAGCTTAGTTACATTGGTCTCACAGAACGATATGCGCAGGCTACTAGTTGCACATTCCAGAATAAACACATTGATATGCCACTATCGTTATACCTTGACTATATTAGCTGTTAAAATGAATCATCAGGTATGTTGTAAAGATGGGTTGAATTGTAAATGTAAATGTACCTTTTGTGCTTTAAAATAATTAACACTTAGTATATTGTAGCTTGGTAAATTGAACAATTGTTTCCATTACTTGTTTTTTTGTTAAGGTGAGTGTTACTAAGTTCCTCATATGTGTTTTACTCGATAGGAATAGCCGATTTGTGTAAGATTATGAATTCAGTTGATAATGTTTCAGTTTGAATGTGGTTCTCATCGTCATTAACTGTTTCCACCTAGAAAAGGCCATCGATGACCAATATGTACTTCACGGCCGTAATCGTCCGTGATAGACAACTAATCAGTTCACCTCTATAGCTCTACGTGAAATCGAATTCAGGATCTTCATATATACACAGTGGTTACAATATCTTTTGGTCGGACCCCTGTATTCCATAATTGATAAAATATGTCACTTGTGTTCTTTATAAAATGGCCGAATGTTGAGTCTGTAAGCTACCACAGAGTCACCACTTTATTCATTTTTTCCGAAAACGTATTATCTCGAAAGTGTCGTCATGTTACGTTTTACCTTGTATGTCGAAAACAATTTTGTTACACCCACAGGCCTGTAATTAGAATCAAGTCAGTGTTACTGGCTGAAAAACCCAATGAGTTGTATATCGGATCGCAGAACAGCCTATTAGTACTCTATGTTGAAGGATGTCCGAGTTAAGTGAATCACATGACTAGTATCTCATTATTTTCAGGGTTTATTTACTGCATATCAAATCCCTCTAATAGGTGAAAGCATGTTTTTACTTAAAGTTTATGCTTTTTATACTTCTTAAAATCTTTAAGTCACAAATCATGTGACTCGAAATATTGAAGGTGATGACTTAATAAAGCAAAGATATTTGTACAAATAGAATATACTAAACACTGAATTTGAAAAGAGTATGTATTTATATGCTTTGTCTACTGGTCATTAGTTAATATATTCCTGTCTCCATTTTCTCATTTTATCCTTTCACAGCGTTTAGTAGTTTGTGTAGAAGATGGAATATTTATTCATAATATGCGTGATATGCAATTACTGCACAAAGTTGAAGAAACTCCACCTAACCGAAATGGTGTTATTGCTTTATCGGCCAATGAAAGCAATTGCTATTTAGCCTATCCTGGCTCTCATCGTGTTGGAACTGTTTTCATTTTCGATGCATTAAGTTTTCAAGTATGTTGGAGTTATTAACATTTTTATTTTAAACTCCGAGGATTATCAAATCGCCCATTTTTCGGTCATACACTTAACTCAGCCTTAGAGATAGTTTTTACCATCTGAGAAACCATTAGGAAACCAGAGAACGCGTGACGATTGTTTTTTTCTAGTTTGAAACTCCTCAGCATTGCCCACATCTGCAATTACCCCAGGGATAGAACTTAATTTTCTCAGCGAGCATGTTACTTTTAAACTACTGAATTGACATTTGATGGTTTACACTTCGAACTTGCAACTGTTCGTGATGCGACGCGATGTTCAAATCAAGACTAATTACATATTTCTAAAGCCTGATTAGTGGGAACCTTTTTTATGAAGTAACTATGAACTGTCCGTATTGTTTATGGAATAACGATTCACACGATTATCTGTCCTTTATATCCTAACAATCAAATTAACATTGACTTAAAAATTGCTCTAGCGTCTGCTTTATACTTTCACATTCATTAAAATGTGAAAGAGTTATACTGTATGTCCTAAAGATAGTCGATATATTGATTAGTTTTATTAATGGAATGGAGTAAATATTTACGCCTAGTCGACCGAAATATTATCAAAATAAATAATGGCTTAGTGGTTAAGATATCCAACTTCCAATTGCTAAGTCTCAGGTTCGAATTCCGCCCCACCTACTTTGATTAAGTCAACCAGGTAGTATCGTTACTCCTCACACCCAATATGTGGCTCATATTCAGGTACGTTGTGAAGTTGTTGACTAATTAGTTAATTTTTCTCTTAACTAAATACATGAGATATATATTTACCATTTCGATAAGTAATTGATAACATGAAATAAGTAAACAGATGAGTTATTAGGTATATGCTTTTCTTTTTTATACTCGCTGAATGGAAGTTATTTACTGCACAAGGAAAATACATTGTATTTATGTAGCAATATATATATTTTACCGAACGATGTGAATGATAGTTGTGTAATGCCTTTTTTGCTTTGATCATGTGTGTTGCAACAACAATGGGTGAAGTTGAAGCTGAAATGAAGCAATTTTATGTATAATTAGTATGTAATGAACCCTTCGTATGTCTAACTCGTCTTTGGTTAATTATATGGTGATAATGTTTTTCAGTAGGACAATGAAGGCTTCACAACGAAAACATCAAGCTCAGAGACCAAAACACGTCGAACATATAACTAAAAATTTTGCAAACTTTTTAAGTTATTGACCTATAATATAGAGGATACTGTTTCTCATTATTTGTTGACTTGTCTAATCACGAGTCTTATTGATTCATACTGAGGAGAAATACATTTTATCCGTATGATTAGGTAACTGTTATTTCCGAAATTGTGTTTTGTTGTATACGGTTTCAGTAATATGTTTAAACCTGTTTGATACAAATTCACTCTCTTCTCAATCGACATAGATGTGTTGAGGAGGTGACATGTCATGTTTGAATGTGTTATTATTTTAATATTCACAAATTATTTAAAATTTTTGCATCAAAATACTAGTGGTGACAAGTTTTGTAATTGTCCCAAAAAGTTATATTGACCACATCTATTATAGATAAAATATCCTTCAATTAGTAAAAATATCCTGTTGTGATTTTTATCGCTCTGTATTATCCATTCGACTGGTAAATAAGCACAATAATCATTTGGATCCTTCTGTACGTTGATCGCAGATGAGTAGCGAATCAACATAAACTAAATACATGTATTTGCATTGAAAAGATTATCGCCGTCCAAATTTTTGAACACGATTAAATGTGATTCATTTGTTCATTCCCTTAACTCAATAACATGATCTTGGTTAAATATCCACTTTCGTAACCACCACCTACCTTGGTACTCTTTGTTGGTTGATATAAGTGCCAAATATATATATCAACTCATGTATTATTTTCTTGGTCATATGATTCACATGGATTTCATGGTAATGTCAGTCATTTGATCTCTTCAAACTGTTTCTTGCCTATGAAAATTAATTGATTGTTTGCCACTGGACAGACTATGGAATCAATACAGCTTAAGTTGATCAATAATTAATGTCGTTTCAGTTTGTTGATAAATAAATAATAGTTTTATTGTACTTAAAATCGTTTGATATCCCTCTCACTTTACGGAGTGAAAACGCTCTACATAAACTTTCATTTCAAAATCCAATAGTTTGAATTTTCCATCATTACCCATGATATAATGGAGACCTAGATTCTATGTCCCATTCAAGTTATAAATAAACGAGTGTAAACTGGATGGTTGTGACTCAGGATCAATTCAACTGTTCTTTAAAGTGTTTCATTCATCAATGCACAAGAGTATGTTCTGAAAGCTTACCACTAATCCTTATCTCCTGGTGACAATCAATCTAACCAACATATACTTTTCTCAGATATTTTTTCCAGCTTTTTCTGTAGTTTTATTCATGGAGTCGAACTAATGGTCTTTGGAAGTTGAGCTACTAGTTGTTCACATTCTAAACTTACGTGACTCTGTGCTATAAATCCTTCCTCATCCAATATTATGGATGATATCTGTATCACTCGTGATGACGTAATCAAACTCCACTAGTCACGGGTGTTCACACTTGAATTTCAAGGATCTATCTCCGAATTAGTCACTAGGTGGCATACAGTGATTACTTAATATTGTACACATTATGGAGACTGGTTCAAAGTACAAATTCGCAGATAGTCTTTTTTGTTATTTCTAAATGACTCAATTCTCTTGTTTGCTTTGAATATTTTTTGCACTTTAGAATGTTACATCTATCGCTGCCCATGATGGTCTACTAGCATGTCTTACATTTAATGCGAGAGCTAATTTATTAGCGACTGCATCAGAAAAAGGCACTGTAATACGGGTGTTTTCTATTCCACAAGGAGAAAAAGTGATTGAATTTCGTCGTGGACTTACTCGGTAAGTAAAATATTCATTAATTTTGGATTCCGTTTGACTAACGGAAGATGATATTGTTCACAACACACAAAACCTGGGAGTTCCAGTATCACTCTCATATGGGGAGGAGGCCATTGATACCTGCTGTTAAGGGGTCTCATACCAAAATGAAATAGCTATTTAGTGCTGCCAAATGTTCAATCGTTTTCTAATTAACGTTAATCTTTTACGGTAAGCAACTTCAAACGCTATAAATCTCTTCACAAAGCTCAGTTTATTGTCAGTCAAAAATGATTTCTTTAAAGAAGTTTCGTGGTGATTGGTTTTATTTGTAGATAGTATTCGCTATAAACTAATCTCAGTTGGAGTATTATTGAAAACCAAAGAGGTCTGGACAGCTACTTCATTCTAGTATGAGACTCCTTGGTATTATGCACTCACCCTTTCCGCTTTAACCTTCATTTTTCTTATCATAGGTAGTTTGCTACTTGGTGGGTTTTTTTTCTAAACTTTTTTGCTTCGTTTATACTTTGAACAGATTCTATTCTAGAGCAATGTGTACACTTAACATTATGTCTTAGTAAAGGATCCTAACTTCGATTTAATCCAATACTTTTTTTTAGCAAATCACGAATTTCCACTATTTGTTCATTTGTTCACTGTCCTTCAGAATCCTTTTTAGTAACCCCTATATAAATGTCCATATAATTCTTAATATCTTTTATTGAACTCTGATTTATTTCCTCGACTGATGAGTGAAGATTAAAGACAACCTTCATTTGTTTTGATTGTATTGTCTATAAGCTAAGGTACTCGAGTAAATTAAGGATACCTATGTAGTCGAATACTGTGGATCACATGCATTTATTTACATTGCAAATTCAATATTTGTGGCATATGAGTGAATTTTTCAATTATTCTGATTTCATCAACAGAGTTTCCTCTGTATAAATCAACTCAATATGGTCTTGTACTTGAACACTTGTTACTTGACTTTACCTCCAGAATCTGCATTTCAATCCCGAACACAAGGCGAAATGCGTTAAGTGTAAAAAAGCTTTTTTACCAAGCCTAGTTCATGTATGGGATCTTAAGCTTCTGAAAGCTTCTGGAAATCACGTCTAAATCGGTAATAAAACTGGTAATTATCGAATCAGGATAATGGAAACATTATGCATCGTTTCTTTCAGAATTCTCTTGAATCTCTCTCTGGTTGATTGAAGCATTTGCAACACTTTCCTGGCTTCTGAAGATTTGATTGACTCAATTACATTCTTGAAAATATCCTGAAGATATTTAAGTGTTGAAAAAAACAAAATGTATTTCAACTGTTATTTCTCCCTTTCAGCTGTGTATCTATCTGCTCTCTATCATTCAGTATGAATAGTCAATATCTTGTTGCCGCTAGTCATACAGAAACAGTGCATATATTCAAATTGGAAAGTCGTTCGTAAGTAATTAAAATCATCCAATGTGCTTCTCACTCCGCTCTGCACTTATAACATATATCAAAAGCATTTTTATTGCATATTATATGCATAAATGTGAATTCGTTGTTTGTTTATTTTTCATCAAAGGATATGCAAGTGTAGTGTAGTAGTATCTCTTATTGGTTTATATACATGTCACTAGTAATTATTATCAGTAGTAGTAACTTGTAATTTAACACCCTTAATATTGTGCGATATCTTGCGCATTCTTTACATAATGCTAGTCCGGTTATTGTACCTACTATCTACATACAATTAACTGTCATACTTTTTGTGGTGATCTACATATTATTAAATGATAAGACATTAATGAACGGATAGGCATGCAGAACACAGAATATTCCTTAAAACGTTAATGTATTGAACCATATTCAGATCAGCAGTCCAATACTTTGATCCATTTTGATCACCACCCCGTTTCGTACATTTTATCTCAGCTAACACAACGCCTCAAAGAAGACATTACATTTGTATTCGTAAATCATACTGAGTTTATGTTAATTCACAACTGATTTCTGTCATTGTGTCATTGTAATCAATGTCGCTCTTATTCGTAATTATGAGTTTGTTAAATAATTTTAGCAGAATAACTCAAAAGGATGTTTTATTCACCCTAATTAGAGCCACCCAACTCGAAATACTTATACTGGCCTCCTAGAATGTAAAACACCAGGATTGTTATTTTACATGCTTAAGCTGTAGTGTTTAAACTGCAAATGACCTAAGATAATGTTCTCTTCCTCAAAAAAGTAATTATCGTATGCTCATATCCGAAAATAAGTCATTGTCTTGTAAATATATATTTTAATGCAAAGAAATGATGCATGGCTAATTTAAATTGCACACATTTTTAAATCGTACACATTATATAAATTCTGAGGAGACCATGTAAATGAACCAAGTTAGCTTGTATCATACTTTACAAATTATGTACGTATAATGTAAAGTTAGACTAGAATCTTAGGTGCTTCCATGACCCACTTAGATTAGTGAATCTAGTGCCTTGATTATCGTCCTACACCCATCTCTCACTGATGTTGAAAACGTACCAATCATTTTTCTGCAAATTAAAAGCTAAGATGTCTTTATGTTCTTAGTAAAAGCCGATGAAAGATGGTCGCGCGACATCGTTGATTGGTTGAAGTTAGACATTAACACCGTTGGATGCCGGCTCAGCGGTCTAGACGTTAAGCGTCCACGCGCGAAAACGAAGGTTCTGGGTCCGAGTCCCATGCGCGGGGTCGTGAATGTGCACTACCGGGAAGTCCCATACCAGGACGAAACGGCGATCCAGTGCTTCCAGGTTTTCAACGATGGTCTGACATTGATCGACTCATGATTTAAATAAAATTCAGCAATCTCCACAACTCTTAACTGCAAAATAAAATATAGATAGGCACGATATTTTGGTCTCTGTGATACTTGAAGATTCATGTTGTAGGTAGTCCTTCTACTTCAGATTGAATGATTTCCATAAACATCCCATCTTAACAGGTATGTATTGGCGGTGTTTTTCAGTTTGCTTAGTATACACGCTCACTTAAAGAGTGCCTGAATGCTGCTTACAGTTGAAACAGGGTAGAAAAAGCCTCAGGATAATTATTTATTATTCGTCTAGGCTGTTTTAGTGATTTTGCTGTTGGTAACTAGTATCTGTCATCAGGGATATTGTTTCATTTCTGGTAATCCTTGCCAGCGCTCAGTTACATTCCATAATTTACATTTCATTATTACATGTCGTTTCTCAGACCTTCATTGAACTTATTCTTTCACTGTATGGTTGTGAAGTAATGTAAATCTGTCATTCCTGATCTTGTTCCAATCTTAATCAGAAGAAGTCGCATCCTGACTTCTTACTTATTTATGTCGTTTTGCACTTTTTCAAATTGAGTAACTGACCACAGTGAACCCCTGAAGAATTTTTATACACTGACGCAACTACGTCTTCCTTTGGTTTTGTAGTTCTGAAAAGACACCTGAAGTTCAAACTGATCACTATACTAGACAACGTACTACGTCTTCTAGTTCTGGAGCTAGTCAAGTTGCTGGATGTATTATAGATGATTGTGATCCGCCTTCATCTGATGATATTGGTACAAATTACCCGGGATGTATAGATATAAATACTGCTGGTTTAGATAATACTAATACTACAACTGGTGCAGCGGCAGCTACTATGGCCAGTTGGAGTCAAGGTTTAATGGGATGGATGGGAAGTACTCTAAAAACATATTCTGCTTATCTACCACATCAAGTTTCCGAAATATTTGCTCAAGATCGTGCGTTTGCGTATGCTCGAATACCATGTGCATCAGTTAATAGCCCATTTCGTCCACCAGGCAGTGGTAGTCCTGTAAGTATGACTCCAACCGGAGAATTGGTTAATCTTAATTATGTTGGTTCGACAACTTCAATTCCTCAAGGTAGTTTAATGCAATTGTCACCTGGGCAAAGGAAAGTGGCTGCTCTTGTTTAGTAAGTTATAAATATATTTTGACTTATTCCATAAATTGTTACCTTTGATGGTTATTGACTGTTTGCTAGATTTTCCTTTGTTTTCCAGTCATCCGATAAACGGTTTAAATATGTTAATATGAAATGTTAAATATGAGATAACAGATCAATATTTTGGGCTTTTCTAAATCTTCATTTCTATTCATTATGTTTATCTTTTACTTAGAGTGATAAATGTGGTAAATACTGGGTCCTGTATGATAAAAAATGAATATATCTATTCTTCAATAAGAAGATCTGCAACTCCTGACATGGCTTAGATTGACTGACCTCGACCTAATGAACTAATGTTACGTCTTAGTTTAGCTATCCTTAGCGTTTTAACCTGCTTCTATGCCAACCAGGAGTCTGTATCGAGGTAGGCGGCGCATAGTGGGTATGCATAACACATTTTCTATCATCTCAGGCGATTAGGATTCAGATTGTAAGCAACCAATCTAGGTATTACCCTACATCTAACCTGACCGTTACTCACACAGTGGTCCCATCGTGCTTGAATACTGGTTCAAAATAATCTATGATTGAACATTAGTAACCAACAGGAGTAACTTGAAGAAACATAATTTCGGTTTAATATTTACGACCATGTTTGTTTTTCCCTACTTTGAACCCAACAGTCGAACTTAGCTACATCCAGTTGGGGTTGGCGCATATAATTTACGTGGTTATTTGGTGTTTACCATGTATAATATTAATATGGATAATTTGAAGATGCTTTCTCATCACATGCTGATGTTGGCCATAGAAATCACTCACCAATATTAAGAACACGAATATGGCAAGTTAGATAATTACGTAGTGTCTGTTGCTATGTCAAGTCCACATGGGTTATTCTAGCTTCCGGACAGACCAACTTATTTATTCATCTCGAGCCACATATTGACCTTGTCAATTATTAGCCCATAACCTTGAATTTTGTGTATGTATTGCTCACCCTACTCATCACATGTCTTTAGCTTATTTTTTGTTTGGCTATAAATAGTGAATCACGCTTGATCAAAAGTGAGTTGGCACACTTTCCTTCTCCGGCCTGCTTTTTCCACTCGTTTCTCTGGTTGTCTGTCTGGATTAACGAATGTATGAAACATGCGTATCCAAAATTCATTCTCATATTCGAATTATTCCGTTCTTCTCTGACGCGAATTAAGCTGATAAATATATACGACGGTTGACGCCATCTATATTTCTTTAGCACTATCATTCGATCAAACTGGAGTCAGATCAGTGTGCCACAAGAAGAGTATGGTATAAGGACGAACTAAAAACAACTGAGGCAAGTTTCAGCCTATCAGAAAACACCTTTAATACTGTATAGGAAACAAACATTAATATTAAAATGGGTAAACGAATTTTGCATAATTATTGAATCTATTGAAGTTGTTTTCTAGATTCTGATTGATCGTCCATCCTATATTGATACAAAAGCTTCACAACAAGTGTGAGCTAGAGGATAGGGCTTGTAAGTGCAAGCTATATGCGCGCGAATATATATATATATATATATATATATATATATATATATACTAAACTATTTTCTCTGTAGAGTATTAAACATTTGATCAGTTCGCTTGTGATTTATTATGAATTAAATATTATTTGAAGCGTACAATGAATATGAGTTGATCAATTACACATCAATAATCTTCATACATATGTGTCTATCTAAAATTACTTAATAATGACTCTTTGCACTTGATCATAATGGTTTCTGTATACGTACTCTTTTTTTAACTGCGTGTTTCTCATGTTTCATTGTTATTAATTATGTTGTTTCATTAAAAACACATTTGTAGCTATCAGAATCAACCACGATTAATTGTCGCTGGCCTAGACGGTCTTGTGCATATTTTCTCTATTGATCCAGTCAATGGTGGTGAAGGTGTTTTAATAAGAACTCAAAGGTAAATTTCTAATCATATCGACGATGATGATGCTGATACTTGAGACATTTCTTTCTTCACTAACTTTATTTAAAATTACATCAAGTATATAACTTAACATACAGATTCACAGATAGATGCACCTTTAAACTATTCATTTTTCGTGTTAAGAGTAATAATACTAACCAGCCGTTCAAAAAGAAAAAATAGGTTAATCAAATACTGAAACTACCACTAAATAGTTAGAACTAAAGTGGTTTCTTATCATTAAACTATAGCTGTTCGTTCAAATTGCTGTTAGCTATTTTAAAGTTACCTTAAGTTGTTTGTTACTCTGTGTCAAGTAGATGCAGTCACACACAAACTTTATCTGTCACAAATGAGGTAACACTGAAGTTCATTAATCAATCAACTACATGACTACAATGGAATAGACACATTCATCAACAAGATTTCTATAGCTTTATGAAAGTAGTCTGAAAAGAGATGGATTAAAAATGATAGCGTTTAGTTGTTGACTTACTTTCTGTTTAATCATTAAAACAGGTTGAATTCTTTTGCATCCAAAAAAGAGGAAACTGAAAGCGATAATCCATTAGGATAGTTGGTTCTTTCTTCTGAAATATATTTATTTTTAAATATGTACGTTTTTGCTATGCGTTTTGTTAAATGATGACTAAATCTTCTGGAGCATTTTTAAAGTTCTTACTCACAGATTTAAACATTTGTTGTACGTGGTTGTATCAATGTGTTCAGATTAGGTTGTTGCTTTATGCATTTAGAATAAATCTACATTAAGAAGGTTGATATTGTCAAGAGTGCTGGCGAATTTCGATAAGTTTAACAGTGGGTTGAAATTCAGCTCGATAAATCTATTAATTTTGAAATAAACGATCTACTAATGACTGGCTGATACTGATCTGTACTAGACTAACCGATTGATTGATCAACTGGTATTTGTTCCATCCAACTCCATATGAAATGGAATAAAAAAAGATCTATTGAAATGAAGTTCTGTGAATTCATACGAAACACTGTCTACTCTTTGCACACATGGATAGAGTATAAAGTTGTTCAGTAATGAGAATCAGTCTAACTTGATTTTATGTCAGAATAATTCAGTCTTTTTCAATTTTGAGAAATATCCGCTTGCTACTTTCCGGTCTATTATGTTATCGAAGAAGTAACCCTTTGATTGCAACACTTAATCTTTAGCCATAGGCTCGAATTGCATGTCACCTATTTACATTCGCTTGAACAGCTGAATAGTTTCAACAGCCTTCAGATAAACAGCGCAGTTCTAAGCGAAGCACATAAACATCTAATTGGTGTGTAAATACACCAAGTTATTTTGTTGTTGAGCGGTTGAAGATGGTCGTCAGGATACCATGGATCTAGGTCTCGTACTAGTTGACATCCATTAATACTATGTACATCCGACCGTCAGGGGAACTGAAGTTCTCTGTGGGATTTTAACCTACGTCACCTAGCTTCATTGTTTGAAACGTTACCACTCATCTATTCAGGCTGTCTAACCTCCTGTGGTTTTGACATATTTACATTGATTGATCACTGAGTAGTAAGCAGTATTATGCTTGCTTAGTTATCAGTTCTAATTAGATTCTGTCGGTTACTTTGTCAGTTTGGATAGGAAAGGATTAGTCACCAGTTAATTTTTGTTATTTATATCCTTCCATTATTCTAGATTACTATCTCCACTTTCAACAAATAATCAACCAACTAGTATATCATCTGTAGCAATGAATCCTAATTCACCGTACGATTCAAACTCTCTCCCAACAACTAATATTACTAATAGTAATGTTAATATTTCTACCGGAGATGGTAATACATCTAAAAATGTCAATTGTATTCGAACTGGCGGGCCTCAACAACCAGGTGTTTATGCATTACCAGCGTCTGTTGCTACAACTGTCAATTTATCCAGTGGCAGTAATCCAGGCGTTGTTACAACTGGTAAAGTCAATACATTCGCATCAGTTGTTGCTGGTGGTATAAAAGATGAAAGTGAGTTTCCGATTGTATGTGTGCATATGTGTAAAAGGTTATCGCACTATTTTATGCTATTAATTATTTATAAAATCTGATCATATTTTTGTTAAATAATTTCCAATATTTGACAGAAATTTCCAAATGATAAATATTCATCAACTCAAATGATTGACTATACTTATGAATGACTACGTTGGTACACACACAGCATAGAACATGCTATGAATTTATATCGATTTCTATATTTCGTATCAATATAGTATTAAACGAAAGGTAACGATTGAATGCATCTTCTCTACCGTTATCGAGTTTGAGCTGTATTACTTGAGATCCACAACTATAAACTACATTCTTTTCTCTCAAACCGTAACCAGAAATTAGTGGTACCGACAATCATTGTCTTTCTGAACTGATGTCTTGTGTTAGTTTGTTCGTTTTCAGTCTTCTCTAAATATATACTTTTTGTAGCTATTATTGTACTTTTGGGGTATGCGATAAGAGAACAATAAAGTTGTATCACCCAGTTGTTACAGAGCAGAGTTTGACGTAATATTTCAATTTTAGTACTTTTTAAAATTCCAATTTCATTTATAAAGTCAAGTCGCGTTTTACGTATGCCTGAACACCGATTAACACGACGCTCAATGCTGACTAGTGTTGGAGACGGTTGAAAGAAAGTTAAGGGCGGCCAAACTAAAATGTGGCATCAGTGCTTGAAGTCACTAACTTCTAGTCTTAGCCATGTTGGTAGATGCAGACTACTTGGTCGGGGTCTGCGTGACTATCGTAACAAATGGTTGTAGACTGTGTCTGACATGGCTGAGAATCGATCACAATGGCATAGGTGTTATACACTCTTTGTCTCCCCTTAAACTATGAGACTAAAATGATTTCATATCTTTCTTTCTACGAACTAATTCTTTCTTCCTGTAATATATCCTTATATACAATCTTTCTTTTATATATTACCACCATTGAAGTGACCACTTCTATGGATTTGGTGTTCATCTTCTTGTGCTTATGAGGTGTGGCAACTTGGACCGATACATATATGTGCCTGGTCTTACGTTGTAGCTGACTAACCAACTGAATGCGAACTCTTATATGTATTTCCAAGATTTGAACTGTTAGTTTTCCATTACATGACTATCATTAAATACATGATCATTGTTATTCAGTTATATATCTATCTATGCGTTTATTGGTTATAATAAACGTACTAGAGAAAGCATCATTTGTGTTTAACACTTGACTTAAATCTAAATTTTAAAACTAATGGAAAGAGAATTTTTATGTGTTATAATTTTGTATTGTACATTACTGAGCTTCAATTATCTGTCGTGTATTTTTTGATATCGTTATTTTCTTTTAGGCACAAACGTTACTGGTGGTAATCAATCACCGAATTCCTTGAAGTCAGCATGTCATGATGAGTGAATGAATCGATAATGTAAATGGATCAACACAACCCCTCTCTACACACACACACACACACACGCATCAAGAAAGATTTGTCTACACTGCAATATTTCAGATTCAAATGTTGTTGTCGTCATAGTTGTTATTTTAATTTTGTTGAATAATTGGCTAAATGATTTTAATCGTGTATTTTGACTAGTTCATTATCATCTTCGGTTTATTTTTGTCATTCAAAGTTTTATGTATAATGAATTCTCAGAAACGATTATTTCAGTTGTTAGTGTGTTTTTAGCGTTTTATTATTATTATTTTTTGAGTGCCCATTTTGTTAAGTATAACACAGAAATTCTGTTATATACTCTTTTCGAATATTGTTAGAGTAAAGGAAACTGGCGAATCTAACCAACATACACAAACACACACATCATACACACTCTTCAACATTATGCCTAGGTTTTTCCAACCATCTTTATTTTAATAAAGTTTGTTTGACGTTTATTTCCCACCATCCATTAAATGCCTCTGTGTATATCGAAAAAAAGTTGTTCTCAGCCAAGGATAACAGACAATGAAATAAGGTATAAATTATCCCGTCTATTCAACCCTGTAATATTTCTCTTCTTTTTTTTTTTATTTTTACCAAGTTTGTCACCTTATCTTGACTTATTCCCATTGTCGACTGTGCTATTATTGGTTACTGCTTGTTGTTATCTTTTACTGTATGAGCTACCACATTGTACTACTCATTAATATCATGATCATTTAGATGTTTCTTGATTAATGTGGTAATGTATACTTATTTTCCATTAGATTACACGTTGATTTTCTTTCTCATTACTGTTAACATGAATTATTTACTTCTCAATGAATTATTCAAATTTATTATTACTACCCATTTATATTTAATGGAAAAGTGAATTATTCTTTGTACAAATTTTGTTGTCGATTTTTTTCTCTCTTTCTCTCCCCAAGACAATTGTTTTACAGAAGAAGGAAAAAAAGAGTCAATGAACTCTTGAATGACAGATTTTGATTTGTCCTTGTCTTTGAACTTTGTATTTTTTCACTATTATTGACCCTGTTAATAATGCACCTATATATTGAGCATCTCACTCTTATTCCTATCCATTTTGATTATTATTATTTTGTTGAAACTGTGATTCGTATATTAATTGTTTTCCATTTATCTAATTGTGCTACCTGTGAATTGTTGAAATAGATGCGAGTTGGTGGTTTGTAAGTATGGTTCTGGTTTTGAAGAGTTCTTTTCGATGTTGTAACTAAGTCAAAGGTGTTATGAAATGAGCTTTACAGATTTGCAAAAGTTTTACCCGAAAAATTACATTGTCGTTAATAACTGTGTGATGTTTGAACACTATAAGTTGACATCTGAAAGAAATGTGTTATTTCATGCAGTTGGTTCACATATAAATGTAAATAAACGAAAAATAACAATACAGGAAACAATGAATTCATTGCGTTTCACCGATTTGTCTTAAGCTACATACAGTTCAATAAGTTGAATTTATTCAAAATGTTAGCGTAAAATGATTTTAGGAATATGTTAGTGAAATCGCTTTCCGTTAAAGCCAAAACTTTGTGTTCGATAGACAAACTCTAAGAAGAATGTGTAGAAATGGACCTGTCTCAAACATGGTGATTACTATAGTTCATTGATAGACAGACATGGTAGTGCCCACCATTCAAGGAAATTAGCTGATAAACCTGAGAAGGAACGTATGTTCATCCAACTGATTTTCAATAGTGATTCAATCACGAATAAGATTGACTAAAGAATTAAAGCATCTCCGAACAGAAAATATTCTGCACCAAAATTAGTAACAGTTTACATAACAAGAAACGCAGTAAAACAAACCGATGTAGACAAGTACCTGCCTGATATCACCTATTATATTTATTCATTAACATATACGTGGAAAACAAATGCATTGAATGTAAAGAAAGGCTGACATCTACGAGTTTTTATGAGCATATTCCAAAGAACCTATCAGAGGATATGCTAGTCTTTATAGTTCAAGCTCGCTCCACCTATTGGACATGGAACACATGGTAGATACAATATCAGTATTCGACGCAGTTAACAAGCTGTACAACTTTACTGTATTGAAATTCTCTGATCTCTGTGCTCAGCAAGAGTCTGGAACCAACCAATATTTGTCTAGATAATTTAAAAAGAACCTTATTAGGAAGTGAATTCTCTTTTTATATAGAATTATGACTCCTGTTCAATGATTTCAATTCAGTTTTCTACTTCGCTTTTTTATATTTGTTACCTTCTAGATTTAATTGTCCGCTAGTCTGTGTTAAATATACAGGGAGAACAAGGTTTGTCTTTATCTACATTACAGCCCTGACGTGATAGTTTGCGTTAGTACAACCCTGAGATCCCCAACATGTGAGTTTGATTCGGAACTGAGTGGCTTTAAAGTCAGAAAGTAGAAAACTACTTTGCCGTTGAACTGATAAGTTTTCAAGCAACTAGAGATGATCTAGCTGGGACTGTTATACGATTTGTTCCTGATTTAAATTAACTCAAAAGGCACGTGCATAAGTATATGACCAGTAAGGCCACAACTCACAAGAAATATGAAAAATACAATCATATACAAACTAGGAGATTGCAGAGAAGGTAATAATGGGAAACAGAGGTCACGTTTATATTACTGAAGTTTTTGGATAGAAAAAAAACATGACACTAACCTATACGCTAGACACAGCTTATGATTCATGGAATAAAACAGGCACAACACTAAATGTTAGTACATTACATAGTTCGAATCAATTGAGATGTCCTAAAAAAATACCCGTTATTTTTCGTTGTTCCTTTACTTCTCACTTCACATCCATGTTGTGAATAAATTTACCATCATATTATGTTACAATATTTTGTGACTATCACTTCAGTGATTTACGGAAACACCTTTATGGCAGCTCACGTGCAACTTAGTTTGTTCACATTCAACATGGTTAAGCCCTTTTGTTAACTTATTTAACGGACAGAGTCATTCGTGCAGTAACAACTTATCTATACCATTGTACCTTTATTATTGTTACACTTGTATGAATATGTATGCTTGAGCACTGATTTCTACCTATACATATATTCATTCATTCTGTCAGCCGAACTGTTAGTCGCTCAATTGATTCGATGATTCATTCATTTCACTATGTATTTATGGTATGTACATCTTAATCCTGTTCACACTCGCTCGCTCATTCGACCTGCACTCTCACTCGCTTACCTGCTTGATTTTCGGCACTACTCTTTTATGCTTGCTTAGCGTACCTGTAATTTTGATGAATCTGTGCGTGATGCAATAATAAATTTAATCAACACTTCGTATTCGCTTTCTGATTAATACACCATTGGGGCGTTATCTAGCGACGGTTATCAGGACGAACAGTATACGAAGTTTAAGGATTGTATTGAATACCGACCACCATACCCTTCATAACCTTAATTTTTACGGCAATTTTGTTGGATCAAAATTTCTTGATCTATGAGGAGCACGTATTCCGCGAATATCTCACGTCAATTTATCGAATGAACCCAATTTAATAAATTTACAACCGACTGAAGAAAAAATGATCAAATACAATAAATCCATCGTATTCTGCAAATATTGTTTTTCTTAAACGTGTTATTTGGTACACATAGTCCTACATTATCTCAACAAAATACTGTCTTGGTAGATAACAAAGAATTAAGTTCATTTATGCTAATTTTTCTATTCAGTATTGAATGGTTCATTTACAACCTCAAGCCATCTGAAATACCTCTCAAAATATGCTATTATGTTGTGTTGGTTCATTCAAACACTAGTTTCCTTGGACGTGTCTGTTCATTAAAATAAAATGTTTGACCATTGTTTTAAGTATTATTCTATTTAATACTCATAGCTGTCTGAGGTAGTTAGTAGCTCTTACAACTTATTAACGCAGTACTTTTAGCCTCATGGCATACATAAAATCGGTTCAGATCAACAGATTTGACAGCAGTATAGAGAAATGAAAAAGAAATACCAAAGCGTGAAATCAACTAGGAACGATTCGTCAAACAGCATGGACCTGTTTATGCTATTTCATCTATCGCATATCATCAGCCAGCTTGTCACTTCACTCCTTATATTCTCCATATTGTTTCATTATTGCCTCTACATAGTCATATAGGATTTCGGAAACAAAATGAAATAGTAGGGAGATAATTTTAATGAATAGGGGAATGGTTGAATAGCAAGCCAAAAACAGTGAATGATAAACGTGAAGCCAAAGCACGTCATCCATCGCTATCGCATAAATTTGGTGAACCACTTAAAACTCTGAGAACCTCTACAATCAAAACAAGATTGGCTATTTATCTTTTAAGAAGATATTTATAATAGGAAACAGAAGCTTAACATGCATATTTATTGGACAAACCATGTGAAAACAAGCTGTTTTTGCAATGTGAGTAGCAAATAAAGAACATTTCTCAGAGGAAATGGTTATAAGCATGTGAATCTTCATAACAATATTGCACTTCGGGATGTTGGCAAAAATCACATTATATGTGGTAACATTCTTCAGATCTATAAATTTCATTATATATATGAAAACCAAATAAATTTAAGAAGCGATTACTCAATCAATATTGTTTCTAACAAGAAATTGGTTTTCAGAGTTGATTTATATCACTGTTTGAATTTGCATGAATATAAAAATTGGTAAATTGGATAGATTATTGACAGTGTAGTTGATGATCTGGAAATAATCATTACATAGATAAGATATAATGCTTGACTTGAATGGAAGTAGAGATTATTTGGCATGAAATCTCACTAATCAAATTATAGGGAGTAAGACCTAGTCAGAAGACTAAACAGTATAACGTTTAATCCCTAGAGTGTGAAATCAGTAAGGTGTTTTTTTTCATTAAACAACCAATGTATTAAGTAGTAAAACTTACTTCAAGAAGTTTCATCATTGTATTTATGGCTATAAGAGTTAAAAAAAATATTACACTCGGAACTATTCAAAAAGGCTCGTATGTGACTTGTAAAGATAATTAAAATAGAATTATTTTGTAATTAGTTTTTGCGACTATTTGCATTTCTTCAATTTTCATAATTTATACAATTACCATTATTGACTATAAAATTGTTGTTGAAAAAAGCATGACTTTTGATCTGCCGTTCCGTTTTTGAACTCTCCATAGCCTGAAACATACGCTATCACTCATAAATACACTGCTGCACACATATGCTTCTTGTTCTCAATTATTCGCTGTTATGATAACAGAAGTTCAATATATCTGCTGTTCATGTTTACAGATCACAGTGATATCTTCATTACATGCTTTATCTGGATACATAGCTTGGATTATAGCAACTATAATTGGGATTACTAACTACTTATAATTATGGATTACAAGACCAAAAGAAACTCAAACATGCCCATTTCTAACAATTTGAGTAACGTCCAATATGTTTTTCTTATATGTATAATTTATATTTAGTATATTAACACATTATTTTCTTTCGTAATAACTTTTTCATTATTTTAGGGATTGATATATTTTGTTCAATCACAGACCATTCGTAATCAGTTGGCCTCTAGGCTCGGTGATCACTGATAAGGTAATAGTCCCAGTTCACTCAGCAAAATATAAAAAGTTGGTTAATAATGAATTGTGGTACAATGAATTTGTTCATTCTTATTAAATAAGTCATTTTTTTCCTTTTTGTGATTGTAAGGAAGAAACTAAAGAGATCTATGAAATATCTTGATTGGTTAGTGTAGGCGAACCATACTAATAAGGGTAAATATATGATGAATGTTAGAACACATCAAACTGATCATGCTTACTTAATGAAACAGTAAGAAACCATTTTACGTAAGCATTTATCTTAACTTGTTTTACTCAAAAAAGGACAATTTATGTATATTATACTTATATGTGTAGCATAGTATTCGGCAAAACTCTCGCAACTTCTACCGAAAATCATTTTTCCTCAAAATGTTCCAAGAGATTTCCATTAAATCGTGTAATTTCAGAGAGTAGATATTACAAATTAATCTTAGTTAAACCACCAGTGAAAACCTGTAAAAACTAGACGGCAATTTTTTCGAGTATGAGACTTCTTAATAGTGTGCATTCACTACCACGCTCCTGAAAATCGAACTCTGGACTTTCATTGCGTGTGAACCCTTAACATCTTGACAACTGAGCAGACACCCA